ACCAAGGTACCTTGGATCTCGGCCTGGCTCTCCCTATGACTACCGAGGGAGAGCAACTTCCAGATCTGGTGGAAGAAGAGGAGTTACTGAATGGTCCAGCTGCTGAAGACCAGGATCAAGCTCTGCCATCTCCAGCTGTGGCAACTGAAGACGACCTAGCTGCTGTGGATCTTGAACTGGCTGCCATGCTCACAGGTCCTGAGGGAGGCCGACACCCAGCTCAGGAGGAAGAAGAAGGTTCCTGCAGTGACCATGAGGCTGTGGACTTCGAACTAGCCCTTCTGTCCTTGGCCATGACAGAGCAATATCTGGCAATGGCAGCAAGAGAGTTCTAGCAGGTTTCTGATGGGCTGGATCTCAACAGGGACTACTCCCTGTATCTGAGGTGTTCTTGGCTCCTTTTTGACTCTCCTGGATGCTTTTGAGATTAATGGGCTCTGCTCTCAACTAAAACAGACCCACCTCTACCCGTGAAGGAGAACTGAGTTCCTGCAGGCTTAGCCCAGCCTCACCACAATCCAGATCCCAAAGGACAAATTCTGGGGTAGATGTCAAGACCTCATCTTTCCTACATCATCCTGAGTGAGCTCTATGGAGCTCCTGCCCCAACACCAGAGGCCTCCTTCCCTCCCACTCTGGAAAACACCTGTTCCTTTTTTTCTTCTTATTTTATTCAATATTCAATATGTAACTTAAAGTGGTAGTTTTAGTAAGCGTTCATTGTTTATTCAAAAACAAACTGGTCCTAGCTAGGTTCTGGTAGCTCATGTCTCTATTCCCAGCTACCCAGGAGACTAAGATCTGAGGATCAAGGTTTGAAACCAGCCCTAGCAGGAAAGTCCTTAAATTCTTATCACCAATTAACCACCAAAATGCTAGAAGGGGGAGCTGGGAAGGTGGCTCAGTGGTAGAGCGCTTGCCTTGCATGCCTGAGGCCCTGGGTTCGATTCCCCAGCACCACATAAGCAAAAAGAAAAAAGCCGGAAGTGGCGCTATGGCTCAAGTGGTAGAATGCTAGCCTTGAGCTGAAGAGCTGAGGGACAGTGCCCAGGCCCAGAGTTCAGGCCCCACGACCGGACCCAAAAAAAATTCTCGAAGGGGAACTGTGGCTCAAGTGGTAGAACATGGGCCTTGAGCAAAAAAAGCTCAGAAACAGCATTCAGGCCCTGGGTCCTAGCCCCAGGAACACACATACACACACATACACACACACATACACACACACATGGATCCTAGTGGGAGGTAGGAGGGATATTAAGTGGTTCTCTTGGGAACATGGGAGTTAGTCCTTGGAGGAACAAGTTGTTACAAGAGCAAGGCTGAACTGCTGTCTGGCTTCTTTTTTTAATTTTTTCTTTTTTTTTTTTTTTTTGTCAGTCATGAGGCCTGAACTCTGGGTCTGGGCGCTGTCCCTCAGCTCTTTAGCTCAAGGCTAGTGCTCTATCACTTGAGCCACAGCACCACTTCTGGCTTTTTCTGCTTATGTGGTGCTGAGCAATTGAACCCAGAGCCTCATGCTTACAAGGCAAACACTCTACCACTGAGCCACCTTCCCAGCCCCTTGTCTCACTACGTGATCTTCCTCTAGGATGCCATCTGCCAATGGGGCCCTGGCTGGAGCCTGCACTATGCTGTCTGGACTTCTAATCTCCACAATGTTTTCCTTTCTGAAATCTAGGGTATTTTGTGATCCTATTGGAAAGCAGACCAATATAATGACCTTACTTTGCTCAGTGCTGTTCCCCCTAATATGACACCTTTTCTTGCAGTCTACCTATTATTCCCCAAATCAAATACCACCTACTACACAAGATGTTTCCAAAAAGCTTGCTTTTCTCCAAATGGTCCTCCCCATCCCCTTCCCCACTCCATGTGTTTATAGAAACTCCTATTGGGACATCTCATTGAATTGTAACAACTGTTCATGTGAGCCCCTTTATCTAGAGTGTGAGATTTTCAGGACAGGAAATGTACCTGTAGGCACAGTAGGAGCTCAAGCAATATATCTGGTTGCTCCTTGGTTGGAGGGGCAGTGTTGAGCACTTCTCACGAGCTGCAGGCCAAAGCATTGCAGGAAAATCACACTGTCACTAGGATCGCCTGGAGCTTGCGTGCTCAGAGATACCCAGCTCTGAGCTTCAGTGGAGACAGCACCTCTGTGGCCTTTTGGGGGGCTGATTCAAACAACTTTGTTATTCCAAGTATTCTGACTGGTGCTCTTACGACCTCTGCCCACACCCCTTGAGAGTGGAATGTGGGAGTTCAAGGGCTCCTTGGCAGTGTATTTCAGAAACTCCGCAGGAAGGAATCAAGGCAGGCTCCTGGCTGCTTTGTGCAATTTCCTGTGTGGATAACCTGGGACCTGGATATCCTACATCTGTCTAGTCCTCAGGCTAGAGCACAGGTCCAGCAGCAAGGAAGGAAACAAACCTTCACTGTAGCAGATTCCCCAGTCGCGCCTGCTGAATTTGTGCTTCGCTTTCAGTTTCTCTCAATAAAATAGAAACACCAAAACCTACTGTGCCTCAAGGCGCTCCTAAAACTTTGTGAATTCTCAGGGTTTGGCACATATAATTGAATATTTTTTAAAAAAAATCTGACCTCCATGCAAAGGGCACAAACAGACCATCAGGAATATGTAGCTTTATACCTGTAGTCTTAGCCCCTCAAGAGACTGAGATCTAGAAGACTGGAAGTTCAAAGCCATCCCAAACAGGAAAGTCTCAGAAATTCTATCTCCCAATAAGCAGCAAAACACAGAACTGGAGGTGTGGCACTAGTGGCAAAGAGCTAGCTGTGAAGCTGGGCAATGGTGGCTCAGGCTTGTAATTCAAGCTACTTGGGAGGCTGAGATCTGAGGATCACAATGCACAGCCAGGTCAAGCAGGAAAGTCCATGAGAGTCTGATCTCCAATTAACTACCAGACAAAAATCTGGAAGTGGTGCTATGGTTCAAAGTGGTTGAGAACTAGCTTTGAATGAAAAAAGCTCAGGGACAGTGTCTAGGTCCAGAGTTCAAGACCTATGACTGAAGGGGTGGGGAGGGAGACGAGGGGAGGGGCAGGGGGGTAAGGAAGGGAGAAGGGACTAGCTGTGAGCAAGAAAGCCAAGTTACAGCATGATCCTGAGTTCAAGCTCCAATGCTAGGGAAAGGAAACAAAACCAACAACAACAACAAAAGTGAAAGAACCATGGCCCGGAAGTTCTCAGTGGAACCACATCACCTTGGACCCTGCCCTTGATGAACAGTGAGCTTTGCCTATGATATGTATGTGTGGGCCTGTCCCTGAACGGAGAAAACACATGATATGGACCCAGATCCCAAACCCCACAGCCTGGCACTGTGACTTCGGGGCCTTGCGGAGCCTGGGAGGCCTCCCCCTCCCTCCCATGGAAAGCCTTTCCTACAGCTAGTTAGTCGAGAGCCAGCCTACAAATCCTTGCACCTGGGCCAATAGCTATCTGCCATAGTCTCCCCCAAGGCCTGATATGAATGACCTGGAGGGGCTGCCTCCATCCAGAGCCCAGTGGAAGTACATCCTAAACCTGCCTGTCTTACCTCTTCAGAGAGACTCCCCATAAAAGCTTCTGCCTGTGATTTCTCACTCCATCTTTCCCTCCACCTTCCATGCATCTGACCCTGGGCTCCATGGGGCCCAGAGTGGAGTTCCCCTCCCCCCTCCAGCTCCTAGGCCTCTCAGTGGCTTCTGTCATGAGGAAAAATATCTATCAAGGGGCTGGGAAAGTGGCTCAGTGGTAGAGCGCTTGCTTTGCATGCCTGAGGCCCTGGGTTCGATTCCTCAGCACCACATAAGCAGAAAAAAGCCGGAATGGCGCTGTGGCTGGCGCTGTGGCTCAAGTGGTAGAGCACTAGCCTTGAGCTGAAGAGCTGAGGAACAGCGCCCAGGCCCAGAGTTCAGGCCCCATGACCGGACTCAAAAAAAAAAAAATCTATCAAAACCATAAGGAGATCAGGCACTGGTGACTGGAATTCTAGCCCCTAGGAGGCTGAGATCTGAAAATCAAGGTTCAAAGCCAACCCAGGCAAGAAAGTCCATGAGATTCTTATCTCCAATTAACCACCAGAAAACCAGGAGTGGTGCTGTGGCTCAAAATGGTAGAGTGCTAGTATCAGGCAAAAGAGCTCAGGGACAGCCCTCAAGCCCTGAGTTCAAGCCCCATGGTTGACAAAAAAAATAAAAATAAAAGCCATAATGAAATACCACTTCTCCTTGCTTAATACATTAACAATTACAAAGGTTGAGGTCGAGGTGAGAATATCATCTTTCAGCAATGTATTTTTAAAAAATATTTCTTAGGTAAGATGCACAGAGCCACCTTCTGAGTCTTCCTATGTCTGGAAATGTTGATATGCTTTCCTCACATAAAACTGCGAATTTATCCTCTCAAATTCCAACAAACTCCAGGCACCTAGTACAACCCCGGCCTTCATCTGCCAGCCCTTCTCCAGCTTCTCTTTCTATCACTTGGCAAGCTCCAGCCACCACACACTCCCTACGCCTGCCACAGCCTGTGCCACTGATGTGCATGTGTGGGCTTCCCTCTGGAGGCCTCTCTTTGCCTCTATGATCCCTATGCCAACCATCAAGCCTTACTCCATCAATCCTCTGGAGCCCACCAGCATAGGTGGCATGCATCCTGCACACCTTTAGTCTACTCTTCTGCTCTGGTTGGAATCCCTCCAACACAGAAACCATGATACTCATGACTGGATCCCCAGGGCACAGCACAGAGCCAGGAAACTATTGGCAGCTCTGCCATCCTAGCCTACATGTTTATAATGTAAGAAATCTCTGGAAAAGACCCATAAGCCCCTTGGGCCCGGCGCCCTTCCTTGCTGGGTCCCCCAGCAGGACCATGCACATGGGCAAAGCCTTGTGGGGTACTTCAGGGCACTGCAGGGAGGCTGAGTATTTCCTCAGTACATGGGGGGTGGAGGTGCGGGCTGGACACTTGGGCTGGCAGCAGGTGTGACTCACATTGCTCCTCCCACTCTCGCTCCTCCTTCTCGCTGGTCTGGCAGTGGAGGTGGGCTTGTTTGAGAGTCCAGTACAGTTCCTTGGCCCTCTGCTCCTCCTGGAGGCGAATCTGTTCTTCTCCTCGCTTCCTCTCCTCTTCCTCTTTCCTCTAGGAAGTCATGGGGATAGACTGACATTAGAGGAGAGTAAGACTTTTGGGAAGCTGAAGCAGATCCGGGCTGAGCTGTCATGGATGCGTTACGCCGGTGATGAGCCTCCTACCTACCCACCCAGATCTCAGTCCCAACACAATTGAGATCAGGACACTTGGGAAGAATCAAATTGGTTGAAATATGGAGACTAATTTGTAAACTCTAAAACTGTAAGCAAAAGTAAGGATAGTAAGAGGAGCCTGAGCCATTCTCAGTCAGGAGAAACAACAATGTAAACAGGTAAAGTGAGGGACACAAAAAAATCACTCCTCCTGGGGTAACAGCTCTTCCCAGGTTGCACAGTGGGTTTCGTGGCCTTCTAATGGTGACCCCAACACTCACTGGCCCACCAGGCACCGCCTGACATGCTGTCGGCGCAGGCCCCACCTGCAGAGGTCTTGCAGGCAGCCAGTCAACCCCTGCCTAGACCCCTGTTCCTACTCCCTTGCACTCATTGAATGGATTTTATAACCAAGCCCCACAGGCTGAGGGGCCAAAGCGAGAGAACTACCTGTCCTCACAGTCCTGAGGTCTGCACATCAGAAAAGCTGCTTTCATTCTTTTTATGAAAAAAATATCCATAGTAACGACTAGATATACAAGGGGATTTCATTTTAACATGTCCATGTGTGCATACGGTGCACTTTGGGTGTGTATGTGTGTTTATATGGTATTGATATAAATATTTTTGTTGCACAGAGGGTCATTTGAGGACCTTTTCCTTAGGCTGCAGGTGACTTCTCCCCACCCACCATCTCTTCCACCCACATGACCTTTGTTCTGTATATGTGTGTGTGTCCATCTTTGTCCAATTTCCTCTTCTTTGAAGAACACCAGTCTTATTGAATTTGGGCCCAATTCATCCAAAAGATTTCATTCTAGCTTAAATGACTCCTGTGAACACCCTATGTCCAAATAGTTAGATGCTGAGGTTACCAGAAGTTAGGGCTTCAATATATGGATTTAGGGGAGACATGATTCATCCCATAATAGAACACAGAGAAGAACCAGGGACAGGGCCATGGATAAATGGGGCCTCCCCATCTCAGATGACAGTGGTTTTCTTACTCCACCCAGCTATGACTAACATGAAAGAGGACACTAAGTGACATTAAGTGACAGTGCCACCTCTTTAAGAACGGGAGTATCACCCAGGGAGTCAGAAGTCTGCAGCAACGTTCTTTCAAAGGAAAATGACTGGCCATTTACAGTGACAAAGGCAAGCTCTTTACAAGCAAAGAGATGACAAAAGGAAAACATTTCACAACTACAAACACACAGAATTGTGTCTTTCTCTCCAAGGTCTTGCTAAAATGATTCAATTCACACTACTGAAGTTGACTAAAAATTCTTTTTTCTTTTTTTTAAATGACAATCAGAAATCTTTGGCCACTCTGAGATACTGGAAGATACGTTTGAAGAGCCAAAGGCCAACCCAGCCAAGAAGGAGATGTACAGCTCTCCCATTCCATCCAGAAATGGACTGATTGGCCTGCGGTAGTTGCCTAAATCCCCCTCACTAATAATGCATCAGTAACAGCACAGGAGTTCACAAAGGCCTGGGTCTGCTCACCCAGTGGACAATGTCATGGAGACAAATGTTGCATCAGAAAGACATCGTCATTATCATGGAGGCAAATGCTGCTTCAGAAAGAAACCCTACCTGAATCATTAACCAATAGAATACAAGCATTTGGCACCAGTCCTGGGACTTGACCTCAGGGCCTGGGTGCTGTTTCTTAGTTTTTGTGCTCAAGGCTAGTACTCCACCATTTGAGACACAGTTCCACTTCCAGCTTTTTGGTGGTTAGTTGGAGAGATAAGAGTCTTACAGATTTTCAGGCCTGGGCTGGCTTTGAACTGCAATCCTCAGCTCACAGCCTGCTGGGTAGCTATTATTACAGGTGCAGGTGAGCCACCAGCAGCCAGCATCACCATTATTTGTGTTGGCATGCTACAACAATACTGTGAGAAATGCCTAAAAGCTACTTTTGCTGTTTTCTTGGGCCCAAGAATTAACTAAAAATAAGAGAGTAACATCCCTGCCTTCATTTTGGATGTGGCTCTGCTGGAAGCCATTCTCTCTCTAGTCATGGAAGTCACTTTAAAACTAGGATAACATCCTTATGACAAGGGATCACACCTGAAAGGGACAATAAAGCATCCTCAGGGGAAAGACCAGCCTTGCGAAGTTGTTTATTCTGACCAATGATAAGAGCAGTAACAACTTCTTTGGAACCACTCTCAAAACAAGGATTGAAATCATGATCATGGGACATTGTTCCTGAGCTTTTTCTGCTCAAGGCTAGTGCTCTACCACAGGAGCCACAGCTTAACTTCTGGCTTTTTTGGGTGCTTAAATAGAGATAAGAATCTCACAGATGGAAGTGGCACTGTAGCTCAAGTGGTAAAGCGCTTGCCTTGAGCTGAAGAGCTGAGGGACAGCGCCCAGGCCCAGAGTTCAAGCCCCACGACCGACAAAAAAAAAAAAAAAGAATCTCACAGATGTTCCTGCTGCAGCTAACTTCAAACCATGATCCTCAGATCTCAGCCTCCCAAGTTGTTAGGATTACAGGTATATCCAGTGGTGCCCAGCAACCAGGCCATTCTTTGATCGAGATGGTTTAGTAATTATGCCTGGGCATGTCATGGAAAGACAGAACTTCAGCTCTTCTATAGCCATCTTTGGGAGTATAGACATGAGCTCTATGTTTCGTAGAGCATTGGAAGCAGAGAGAGAGGTATGCTTGATTGTTTATCTCTACTAACCCAGTCCAGACATCATAAATCCCTTTGGAAAAGCTAACTTCAGTTACCTGTTATTGAGCAACTAGCTACCAGAAACTGGAATTGATGACAATAACAATTTCACTTCCTTATGATTCTATGGGGTAATGATTCAGGCAGGGTTTGGTGGATGGCTTTTCTCTTCCACACGGCCTCAGCTGAGGTCAGGCCATGGTTGGGCTCACCCCTGAGATGGGCTGGTGGCTTAAGGAAGGATTTGGTGACATGTCTAGCAATTCAATGCCCCTAGCCACTTTTGCTCTGTGGCTAATTTGGATTTATTTTGTTTTGTTTTGTCATTACAGCATGGTAATCTAGGGTAGCAGGTTTCTTAAAGGTCAGCTCCCAAAAACAAACATTGCAAGAGAGGCAGTTAAAGGGCTGCAGATTTGTGCATTCTGTCCTTATGAGTTGCACAGCTAAAATACATTACCAAGTAACACTAAAGGCATGGCTCAAGTAGCAGAGTGACCGTACAGTAAGTGTAAAGTCTTGAGTTCAAGCATCAGTTCCACCAAAGGAAAGAAAAATACCTGGGTGTGGGGAGGGGAGGAGGATGGGAAGGGATGGGAAGGGGAAACAACAAGGAGGCAACAATGCTTGATAAGAAATGTACTCGTTACCTTGCCCATGTAATTATAACTCCTCTGTATGCTATTCTCACAATAAAAAAAGAAAAAAGTGCCATATATGTACAAGAAAGTTGTCTCAGGATGTTTACTATTACAGTATATTTTATGCTAGCCCCAAATGAAAACCACTTAAAGTCATCAGGAAAGAATTGAAAAAATAAATAAAGCCAGAAATGAATAAAATGTGAAAACCATGAACGATTTATAAAATTTGTAAAAAATTGAATCCAGCCTTAGAAATTGATGCTTTATGTTTTTATGTCTTTGTGCGTTTTATAAAATAGAAACAGGAGTCAGACACCAGAGGCTCACACCTGGAACCCTAGCTAGTCAGGAGGCTGAGGTTTGAGGACTATGAGTTTAAGCCAGCCTGGGCAGGAAATTCATGAGACACTAATCTCCAAATAGCCAACAAAAAGCAGGAAGTCGAGCTGTGGCTCAAGTGGTAGAGTGCAAGCCTTGAAAAAAAAAAAAAGTTTAGGGATACTGTCTAGGCCCTGAGATCAAGCCCTAGAACTGGCACCAAAATAAAAGAAAAAGAAAGAAAAGGAAAAAAAGGAAGGAAGGAAGGAAGGAGGGAGGGAGGGAGAAAGGAGGGAGGAAAGGAAGGGAGGGAAGGAGGGAGGGGGAAGGAAAGAAGGAAGGAAGGAAGGAAAGAAAGAAAGAAAGAAAGAAACTACAACTATGCATTCAAAGGGAGGGAAAGAAAGAATATAAAGATTATACTTTAGCAGCTTCAGAAATACTGTTATTTCTCAAGTATAAAGCAAACATGGAAGAATATTTATACTTGTTGAACTTGTGAGTTGCATGCTCCTGTATATTTGTGCTACCATCTACATTTTTATATGTTAAAATTTAAATAAAAATTGATGGCCTATACCTGTAATCCCTTAGGATGCTGAAGCAGGAGAATCTCAAAACCAGCTTGGGTAAGAGTTTAGCTAAAAATAATCCTTATTTACTTTAATTTGTTTGCTTGAGTGAATCATCTGTAAATACACACACACACACACACACACACACACTTTTCTATGTTTTTGTCAGCATTTGTTCAACTTGCTTGCTCAGCTGGTACTGTCCTATTTGACACATCCTACTCACCCTCTTTGGCCCTAGGATAATTAAGTAGGGAGTCTCATGGACTTTTCTACCCATGCTGGCTTCCAACAATAATCCTCCAAGTCTCAGACCCCTGAGTAGATAGGATTACAGGTGTGAGCCACCAGCACCCAATATATATATTAAGTTAAGTGGCAGTTAGTCATTTGTGCTGTGTTGTAGACATCAAAGCTTGTCTGTAGGCTAGCACAGGCTCCATATGAGGAGAAATAAGTTCTACCTCACAGAGGAAGCAGTAGTGAAGAATTTGCCACCAGCCATCTGGAATCTTCTACAGAAACCTCTCAGATAATGTTCCAACCTATGTTTAACTATTTCCTGGGATGAAGAGCTTGACACAATGGCAAGCCAAACAGATCTCACCCAAATACCCAAGATGGTAAACCTGAGTTGACTCCAGGGCCCCGTATCAGATGCTCCCCACAGACACTGCCCTGTGCAGCCCCTCCAGAACTCTCAATACAACGCAAGTTCCCGAGCCTCCTCAGAACAAAGACAGCCCATATCAGGATGACATTCACACTCAACAAATGATATTCTAAAACCAACATACTGGCACGTCTTTCTTCCATTGGAAATGACACCGACATTCTACATCTGAGTCCCTCAAATGTGAAGACTCTCGGGTCATGCCAGGTAGCTTTACTGACTCCACCATGAACCTTGGCACAGAGCCTCCTACAATTTTTCCACCCCTTCTATCACCAAAACTCTCAGGGAGACCATCAACCAGAGAATCTCCTTCAGGAACATGATCCTCTTTGTGCACCCAACTCTACCAAACTCAGCTCCCAGTATCTGAGCTCAGCCTTGTGGAGGAGGGAGCCCACAGGGAAGCAGATGACGGTCACTGCTGGAGAGAGTAAAAAAGAATTGGTATTCCTCCTCCCCGGCAGACTAAAATAGTCATCAGCCAAACCAATAACACAAATCTCTCCCCCACTGCGGACTGGATTGGACATATGATTACAGAAGCATTCTTGCTTGCAGTAGGCATGCCCTACTCCACAGGACGGTGCCTGCGTTCACAGGAGATGCTCCGGAAAGGTCTGAGGGCTTTATCAGGATTTTTGAAAACTAACTCTCCCAAGCCCGATCTGGCATCTGTTTGTTTTTTAAAATGAAGTCTTAGTGAAAGCAGCCAAATGCATTTCTTCACATATTGTCTGTCGCTCCTATTATCCTACCAAGGTAGAGTTGCGCAGTATAGTGCAGAAGGTAGGACTCCCACAGCCTGAAATACTTACAGCCTGGCCCTTTGCACAAATGCCTTTGCTAACACCTACACCTCAATGCCAGGAGCTATGGAACTTCCTTCCAAGTTATTCAGCAAAACAACAGGCAAAAGAAAATACGTATGCACATATGTGTGTGCATATATGTGTGTGTATGTATGTATGCGTGTGTATAATGTACATATGTGTATATATAAATATGCAAACACATGCATACATGTATACGTATATATGTGAGCATGAGACAATGGATAAAGAAGATTAATACATTTGGCTCATAAAAAATTTGAGCTTCTGCACATCTATAGTACTGAAAATAGCAAAACCAAAACCAAGAAAAAACCTGAGAAAATATTTGCAATATAAATGATATTTTTTAAGCTGTCACTATGGTGGGGGTGGGGGTCTTAAGCCATTTAGAATAGAATGGGCAGATGTCATATACATAGACCCCCACATCTGCACCTCTATATAACAGCTCCTCCCAAAGTCTCATTCAAAGAGACTGGCCCAAACTATAACTTGGGTGTCATGTCCCTGTGCTATGGATGATACCAGGCCCCACTGAAGCACCTGCTGTCAGGTGCTGGTGGCTCACACCTGTAATCCTAGCTGTTCAGAAGGCTGAGATCTGAGAACCACAGTTCGGAGCCAGCCTGGGCAGAAAATTCCATGAGATTCTTATTTTTTAACCAGCAGAAGGACCTGAAATGGAGGTGTGGCTCAAGTGCCAACCTTGAGTTCAAAAGTCAAGTGAGAGCATAAGGTTTTGAGCTCAAGCCCCAGTACTGGCTCTAGATAAATAAATGAATAGATAGATAGATAGATAGATAGATAGATAGATAGATAGATAGATAGATAGATAGATAGATAGATAGATAGATAGATAGATAGATAGATAGATAGCCTGCCTGAGGAAGCTCGATGCTACCAGAAAAGTGAGTTGTTAGAGCTAGCCAGAACCTAAGAAGAGCTGTTTAGCTGTCCTTTCCTGGAGCATTTCCTAAAGAGAACCTACCATTGTGAATATGTGTCTCTTTCAACTCAAAAGCATCCTCTCAAAGACTTGAGAGCCATTCCTCTCAGTGTGACCATCCAGCAGGAAAGGTCTTCCATCCTTCCAGCCAATAGACACAGCTCCTAATTGCTCTTTGTGACTCCCAAAGTCTACTGAGAACCTGCTATTTCCTCTCACCACTGGCCCAAACATCCAAGTGTAGTTCATGTGGCCTTGCCAATTCTCTGTCCCTGCCGGACCTTGAGTTTCCTCATCTGACTAGAGGCATGGATGGACTCAAATGGTGTGTCCATCTCCTTTCTGCTCAGACATGCCCGATTTCCGGTCTCATGAAGAAAAGTCTGAGCCAAACAGCCCTGCTGGCCTTGTGGGCTAAAGCAGGCGGCTTTACCCAGAAGCCCATGCAGTGGCTCACCTTGAATTCCTCGTGGATGCGTTCCTCCAGGATTTTGGCAGCCTTTCGGTCCTCCATCTCCACTTTCCACTTCTCTGCCAGGATCCTAGCTTTCTCATTGGCCAGAGCATCTCGAAACTTCTTGGTGATCTCTGCCTCTTTCTGTCTCCTTCCAAGAGAGTACCCAAAAGGAATCAGCTTGAGCGAAAAACCAAAAGTCCAGGTCACAATGGAACTTCAAATAAAAACAATGAGTAATTTTTCCTTGGAGTGGAGAATGGCAGATATCAAAGGTCAACCAAACTCCATATTTGCACAGGAGGAGAGAAATAGGTACTCTCACATGGGAATGTCAGTGTGATAGGGCTTATCAAACCTTGCCATCTTAGAGTTTACTCTTAGCTTCTGCAACTGCACTTTGCTTTTGTGACTCCATCTTAAAGGTAGCACTGCACCTCCACCCATGAGACTAGTTCCCTATGGCTTGACATTTTAAAATATATGTATCCACTGATCCGTCTATGTTCCTAAGTAATGGGTCATGGAAATGGGTCAGAGAACTGGTCCTAGAAATGGGTCACATTGCCCCAGCTCAATGCTATGCTTGACTTCTGTAGCTTCCCGCTTGGCTTGCACCTGCAGGAGAGAACTTTAGGGACTTTCCACCCCTGAGCAAAGGGGGCCTCAGACCAGGCTTGGTACTGCCTTGGGCACCTGATTACCCAGTGTAGTCCCAGCCAGCTAATAAAGACTTTCTATCTGCTATACTCTGTGTTCATGTGGTCTCTCTGGTGGCTTATCCCCCACTATAAGTCAGAAGGATCATTCTAGAAGCCAGAAAAACAAGAATTGGAAATACAAAATGTTCATCAGAGACTTTTTATAGTATAAACAATTATATTGCTGGGTGCCAGTGGCACATGTCTGTAATCCTAACTATTTGGGAGGATTATATTTGGGAGCCAGCCCAAGCAGGAAAGTCTGTGAGACTTCTATATCCAATTAACCACCAAAGGGCCAGAAGTAGAGCTGTGGCTCAAGTGGTAAAGTGCTAGTCTTGAGCAAGAGCTCTCAGGGACAGGGCCCAGAGCCTGAGTTCAAGCCCAGAACTGGCACACATGCATACACACACACACACACACACACACACACACACACACACACACACACACACACACACATATATCATGTCTTTCAATAGAACCAATAAACTGGACTTGTCACATAACAAATACTATAGAACAATCTTAAATAGTATCAGGAATCTATATGAATGGAGTTGTCAAAGTGTAAATAAAACAGCTTTCAAAGCATGTATCATCTAAGTGGTTAATCTTGGATGGTGGGTCTTGGCTGTGGTTTTCATTATTACTCTATAGATTGCAATGTTATTTGCATGCCTTTGTAATTTTTAAACTGGTTCACTATCATTTGAAATGGAGTACGTTAGAGTCAACTCCAAACTTGTATTTGAAAATTTGATGGAAAATACTAAAAAGCTGTGGATGAAGGAAGACAGAGTCTAAACTTTACAGGGGACTCAAGTGTCGGTTCAGTGGGGAGAAACTCAAGCAATGTAAAGAGGGCCAAGCTGATTAACAAGGGTGGCTCCCGCCTTCTGTACTGTCCCCCTCCCCGCCTTCTGTACTGTCCCCATGACAACCATGGAAGGCAGAGGCCAGAACACATTGTATGTATTAGGCAGGTGAATCTATACCACATGCCTATGGAAAGGGGTTGTCACACACACACACACACACACACACACACACACACGCACTACTGATGTGGAAAATGAGGCCCCAGTTCAGCTGATTGCTAGACCCTGGACTTAAATTCACAGGTTCACCTGATGCAAGACTCCAATGCTACTTGTCACCTGATCTGAGCACAGCTTTACACAGCCAGCCAGGCAAATACCATCTCCTCCCTCCTATGACAACCTGAGGGTCCTCTGCCTGGATCCCCACACCAGGACTCCACACTCAGGCCCCACCCAGTGCCCTCCAAGCCACCGCCCCTCACCAGAGCTCCTCGGCCTCCCTCTGTGCCTGCAGTCGAGCCCTCTCAGCAATCAGCTCCTCGGAGATCTCTTCATAGGGCTTGTCACCAGGGCCTTCGCCCATGACCCACACCCAGACCTCGCCATCCGCTCCCAGCAGCCACTGGAGGTGCTTGTTGCTTGCTGCCCCCACAGTGGGAGGAGAACCGAGAAAGAAGAAGAAACACATCTGATTTCCAATTAATAAGAAACATCCTAGCCGGGTGCCAGTGGCTCACACCTGTCATCCTAGCTACTCAGGAGGCTGCGATCTGAGGATCCTGGTTCAAAGCCAGCCCAGGCAGGAAAAGCTATGAGACTCTTATCTCCAATTAACTACCAGAAAAGGGAAGCCATGCTGGGGCTCAAGGGGTAGAGCACTTGCTTGAGCTGAAGCACTCAGGGACAGTACCCAGACCCAGAGTTCAAGCCCCACAACTGACAAAATAAAAAAAGAAAGTTAGAAAAGAAGGAAGGGAGGAAGAAAGGAAGAAAGGAAGGAAGGAAGGAAGGAAGGAAGGAAGGAAGGAAGGAAGGAAGGAAGGAAGGAAGGAAGGAAGGAAGGAAGGAAGGAAGGAAGGAAGAGAGGAAGGAAGGAGCACCCTAAAAACTGGTCCAGGGCCCCCAACTATCACACCACTGAGCAGACTGCTGTCATCCAAAAATGGAACCCAGAGAGATACTTGTCTGACTGAAGGGCCAGGACCCTCCTTCTTCCTCTATAGAGCACAAACAACATTCTCCTGAGCTGGCCTCTAGAACAGGTGCTCCAGGCTGGACCAGAGAGAACAGGAAGAAGGGGTGCAGCACCCCTGGGAGGAAGTGGACTTGTGTCTCTTTGGGCTGGAGCCTGTTAGGAACCAATGAACCTTTTCTCCCTCCTTCTTTGTGGCTGGAAAGAAGGAATCAGACATGGTGGAACTGCAAGATGAGGCAGCCTAGGGCCCTGCATCTCCATGACCTGCATCATACTGCAGTATAAGAAATACACCTGTAATGGTGGTGAGCCACCAAGATTGCCAACAGCCACAACAGAGTCCATTGATGGCTAAAATGGAGATCTGTCTCAAAAATGATGGTGTTGCTAAAATGAATATAAACTGGGTGTCATTGTTTTAGCAGTTGGGTAAGTGAACTGAATGGCTGGAAATACATGTCATGCAGGAGAAAAATAAATAAGTCTGCTCAAAATATCAGACACTGTTAAAACTTAAGAGACAGATCCCATGCTTATTAAGGGAAGAGTTTGGAAAAACCAAGTGTTATTCACGTGTGTGGCTAGTAGCTACGGTTTACAGAGAAATTCGTTGAAGAAAGAATTGAAAGCTTTGCAAGTAGAAATAAAATCCAAATTTTGGGGTTTTTCTTTATAGGATGCTATGTGTTGCAATGGGAAAAAAAGAAAATAAAAAAGAAACTTGAATACCAGTAGATCTAGACTTAGATTCTAACTTCATCTCCAACCTGTTTCTCAAAGCAGGCAGTGAAGCCTTCCTGAGATTTCAATGGCTCCATTAAAAATGATAATAATTGCCAGGCTATCAGTGGTTCACAACTGTAATCCTAGCTACCCAGGAGGTTGAGATCTGAAAATCACAGTTCAGAGCCAGCTTGGGCAGGAAAGTCAGTGAGACTCTTGTCTCCAACTAAACAGCAAAAAAGAAAAAACCAGAAGTGGAGCTGTAGCTCAAGTGGTAAGGTGCCAGCCTTGAAAAGGTGCCCCAGGTCATGAGTTCAAACCCTGATATAACACATCAAATAAAGAAGGCTAATTCATCATGTTGTTGGGTCAAAGACACATACAAAGCCATCATGAAATGTCTTACAACTAAGGGTGTGCCATGGTTGAATTTAGATCTCTCTTAGTAAGACAAGAAACAGGTATGTCTTTCAATCAATGACTCTCACATTCTATGAAGAACATATAGGTACTTTACAGATCTGAGGGACTGGGTAAGCTGAGCATTTGAAAGTCCTAGCAGAGGTCAGATGGATCTCTATCTAGATGTGTTCTCCTTGCTCCCAAAGAACACATGGCTCTTAGGCCTTACTGTGCCTGTCACTCTGATCTTTTCCTTCATAGGAAGAAAAAGCGAATGAGGAAGAAGAAGAGAAGGAGGAGGAGGAAGAGGAGGAGGAAAAGGAGGAAGAAGAGGTGGAAAAGGAGGAAGAAGAGGTGGAGGAGGAGGAAAAGGGACCCCCTGCGGGGTTGCCAGGGAGTAAGCACAGGAAGAATAGGGAGAAGCACGTGTGTGCGTAGTGTATAGGAGATTTCCTTCAGAGGTTAGGAATATACTGTGGAACTAGATAGTGCTGATGACTGAACATCTTTTTTTTAATTTATTTTTATTTTTTTGTCAGTTATGGAGCCTGGGCACTGTCCCTAAGCTTTGTTGCTCAAGGCTAGTGTTCTACCACTTTGAACCACAGCATCACTTCCAGTTTTCTGGGGGTTAATTGGAGATAAGAGTCTCATGGGTTTTCCTGCCCCCGCCGGCTTTGAACCACTATCCTCAGATCTCAGCTTCCTGAGTAGCTAGGATTACAGGCGTGAGCCTGTTCAAGCCTGTTCAGCACCTGGCTTGAACATCTTAAATGTAGTAAATGTCACTGTCTTGCCTGTTTCTAAGTGGTTAAAATGGTAAATAGTACATTGTGTGTGCTTTATTACTTTCAGAGGTGGCAAGTGCTGGGGAGAATATCAACCAGATTGCTGTAACAGAGAGATGGGGATGGGGCTCTCTGAGAGGGGCATCAGGGAGGAAGGCCCATGAGAAGGAACCGGCCTCTTGAGGGCCTGAGGAAAGGCCCTCCCACACAATGAGACACAAAGGGGTAGAAATTACAAATGGTGGGGAAGAGATGGGTAGACAGATGCTCAGAAAAGCATTTGTATTTCATCGATCTATGCGTCTCTGATCATATAAAATAATATTTATTGAAATGAACTCCAGGAAATGGAAACAAGAGGGGTTTTCCCCCCTCTGTTGTTGTTTTTATTACCTTTTCTTTTTGTCTTGTTTATTTATTTCTCCCTGGGAGGCACAGAAATGGGAGGACAAAGGGTGAACAAATACAGTGGTACTCACTGGACACTGTGGAAAATGAACTATACAACAGGAGGGGGAAACTGGGCAAGATCCAGGGTGACATTATCCAAAAAGAAATGTCCTCATTACTTTGACTTATGTAACTGTAGCCCCTCTGTACATCACCTTCATAATAACAATTTTGTAAACATTTTTAAAGAGAGTTTTTAAAAGTATGTGCAACATCAGCCATGGGCGAGGAGGAGGAAGAAGAAAAGGAGATACACTATCTTAACAGGTTGATAAGACATGTTCAGGGATCCTAAAAGACTGGCACACAGCTCAACCGGGCACAGCAGACGCCTCTTCTATGCCATGTGAGTGGGTGAGGACCTCGAAGGAAGATGCTTGAATGAGGAAGGAAGAGAAACGACAAAAAGAAAAGAAAAACATCAGCCCTCAGAACAGGGCCAAATCACAAGATGCGCATCCTGACTCTATTCTGCAGCAACTGGGGTGAGCTTGGATGGTTTGGCTCCCTTCTGTGGGGTTCAGCACTTGAACTAGGGTCGGGAAGCCTGCCCTGCACCCCACAGAGACATGGGGGCATTGGGGGAAGAGCAGGCATCTAGTAGATATAAACTCACCTTCATCATGCTTTCAGAACATGATGCAGGCATGAGACTCCCTCACAAAAAGCTCTTTGGCCTCATGGGGCACAGCATCCCTCTCCCTAAGTCATAGCCAAACAGTTCCTAAGGGCAGAACTGAAGCTCTGACCAGGACCCTGACCTGGAGAAGCATATATATTCTTCAGAGTGTCCCCTCATTTCTAGAAATTTAATTACCTAGAAAAGAATCTTATGGGCCAGAAACTCAAATGAGTATGACATATAATTTATACATGAAACTGTAGGCATCGATGAAGGACAAATCTTGGTATAAATATTTTTGCATTTTGAAAACTGAGTCATCCGTCTTCTTCCGGAAGGAGCTACTGGACCCATGGGAGCCCTCAGGGCCCAGGCCTGGTGGAGCGGGAAAGGTAGATCATCATCTCCACCAGTATATGATGCCACTGCCAGCAAACCCAGCTCAGAAAGGCCTCAGACTTGGCACAAGTCACACCCCTGCCCCAGTCTCCTCCTTGGAGTCCTGCTTTGTTTAGGGGCCCCAGTGACTCACTCCTGCAATCCTAGCTACTCAGAAAGCTGAGATCTGAGGATCCTGGTTCAAAAAGAGACTCTTCTCTGCACATCACCAGCAAAAAGCTGGAAGTGGAGGTGCGACTCAAGTGGTAAAGTGTCAGACTTGAGTGAAAAAGCCAAGCGAGGGAGGGAGGACCTCAGTTGAAGAAGCCTCAGGAATGACCCTCAGCACCCTCCCCCCCAAAACACCTATCATTCACTCTGATTATGTGAAGGTCGAGTGGAAGAAGGCTGTGGGAAATGAAAGAAAGGGAAAAGGACCAGCACTGTGGAGTGTAATGTGAGTACTGCATAAACAAGAGGGACCTCCACGTACGTAGCAGCCTTCTTGTTTCCGTCCAGGGGTCCTGAGCCATTGCCTTTGCTCACACACCCACAGTCTTGACTGGCACATGACCGCATATAAACCACACTACTTCTTGTCTGCAATTGCTATGGCCACTGGGCCCTGGCCCAGTGTCCTTTTGCTAAATGCACAGCAGGGCTTCGGGCCCAACCCATAGCCTCCTCTCATAGGAGGATCCAGAGCAAGAGGCCTGGTACAATGAGAACTCTTGAAGGGAGGAACTGCCAGTGGCCAAGAACATTCGTTGGGGTTAATTAAGATCTTGCATTCTCCCATCATGCAATTCACATACACCTGACCACCATCTGAGCTCCCAGTGGTCCCTCGGAATGTGGACCTATCACAAGACAAAGCAAGTCTCCATTTCCCCGATGTACTATAACCCTGTCTAGTCCCTGCTACAGCCTGGACCTGTAGGTGGTCTTGATCAAAAGACAAAAGCACCTGGCGAATGAGGCCTGACAGCTCAGCACCGGGTTTTGAGCCCCCAGCCTTCGACCTACCAATCCCCTTCTTGCAGAAGAGCCAAGCCCGGCCTTACCGTCTCTTCTACCCACTCAGACACATACCTCGCTTCACCTTCGGGGGCCTGAGGCCATCTGCCTGAGCCAGGGCATCCCAGACCTCCCTCTCCCTCCAGCGCCTCAGCTGCTCCTCTCGCATCTTGTAGAAGAGGATGTGCTTCTGCACATCGCTCAGCTCAGCAAGGAGCTCGGGGTCGATGTACATGTCATGGAGGATCTGCTGCAGCATGATGCACCCCAAAGAGCAGCCAGGCCAATGCCTCGGGCCACCCCTTCAGCCCTAGATCCTCACTCCAGGTCCATTCCCGGCATCGTCATTGATTCAGCATCGTCACTTTCCATCTCAGCTCCCAGCCAGCGATCAACTCATCTCTGCCCAGGACAGCATCAGAGGCCTGTTGGGCCAGACAACAGGCCCCTGGGAACTTAGCCGCCGGCAGCTTGTGGGAGCACCCAACACTGGGGTTTCTCAACAGTTGCCTGGGTCTTGACTTCACCTGCGACAAGGAAAAGGATCCAAACTTCCAGCTCAGCAGGGCAGTGCCCAGCTCAGCCCAGCCCTGCCGGGGCCAGTCAGTAGGTGTCGAGTGATCTGTTCGTGGAAGGTAACGATGACACCAGCCATATCAGTGACACTGCCCTGGCCAGTGAGAACTGATCTCTCCCGGGCAGATAAGAGGAGGGAAGAGGAGGAGGAACCATGGGTAGCTTTGCCTACTAATTCCATGTCTTCTAAATCAATTTCAAATAGAAGCCAGGGGAGTCAGCCAGGAGTTTCTGGGTTCCCCTGGCCCCTGGCTCTACCTTCTACCCTAGCCAGCCTTCTTTTCAAGGCAGACTGAGGTAATGCTTTTAAAACTCTGCCTTTGGGGAGAGAAAAGATCTTTCCCCCCATCTGTATCATAGTGAGGGAGGAAGATAAAATGGACATAGTAGAGGCAGCGTAGGGTTCAAGGACTTGAAATAAGCTATCTGTCTTTCCTCTTCCCCTAAAGTGAGCCCCTGAAGCTATGCTGGTACTCACTGACAAATCCACCATGGCTGATCTGAGAAATTGTTGATTTTCTTGTTGCTGCAGGTGGCTGGAGTTCACCCCTCCAAAAAGGAGGAGGAGGAGGGGGAGGACGGGGAGGAGGAGGGGGAAGAGGAGAGGGAGAAGGAGGAGGAGGAGGAGGAGAGGGAGGAGGAGGGGGAGGAGAGCCGGAAGGCACATCCTAGTCTAGATCAGAGGTGCTGACTAAGGTAGTATATTGCCACCTGCTTGAATGAAACCCATCTGGAGGGCAGGGAGGAGCTACAGTGGCTAAGACCGAAAGTTCCTGACTAAGCATAAGCTTGAAAGCCACTCTGCTCTCAGTGCCCTTCCATTGAGACGAGGAAATTGGAGTTCAGTGGAAGTAAGTAAGGCTTGACCATGGGCTTACCCTGTCAGTAGGTTGCTGCTCTGATTAAGTTACTGGGCCTGAGCCAGGTTTCAAAGGGTTGGAAGATTGTGAAACACCAGGAGACCACAAGCAAATAAGGAATCGGATTTGGCGGGCGCTGTGGCTGGCTCAGCTCGGTGATTTTCCCTTCCCGAGGACAGTGAATGAGGGTCCTCTGCAAAGTCAACACACACAACAAGGAAGGACTAAGCAGGTTGACCCCAGGGCCCCAAAAGAAGTGTCATCAGGCACAGTGGATCAGCCTTGGGCCCCCGCCAAGCCCAGACCTTCTCAGTCCCCCCACATACACAGCTGGTGTATAAGGGCTGATCCTTGGAGCTCTGGGCTTGTAGCCTGCACCCCTTGTTCTCTCTCCACTCTCCCCCAGCTCAAACCCCTGGCTCCCCTTCTCTACCGGTTTCTTGACACAGCATCTTACCAGCACCCCCATCTCTGCCCTGGCTATTGCTGTGACTGGGTGAATCCAGACAATGGGAAGACAAGGAACCAAGGGGGTTGGGCTGGCCATCTGCTGGCAGTGTCCTTTCTTTCCGGGGCGGGGGGGGGGGGCACAGATTCCTATAAGGGAGCCATGCAGAGCTGCAGAATGGGGCTGGCACATGGCCGGGTCTTCGGGCAGGTGGTGGTGGTGGTGGTGGTGGTGATGGTGGTGGTGATGGTAGTGGTGGTGATGGTGGTGGTGGTGGTGGTGGTGGTGGTGATGGTGGTGGTGATGATGGTGGTGGTGGTGGTGGTGGTGGTGGTGGTGGTGGTGGTGATGGTGGTGGTGGTGGTGGTGGTGGTGGTGGTGATGGTGGTGGTGGTGGTGGTGGTGGTGGTGGTGGTGGTGGTGGTGGTGGTGATGGTGGTGGTGGTGGTGGTGGTGGTGGTGGTGATGGTGGTGGTGGTGGTGGTGGTGGTGGTGGTGGTGGTGGTGGTGGTGATGGTGGTGGTGGTGGTGGTGATGGTGGTGGTGGTGATGGTGGTGGTGGTGGTGGTGGTGGTGGTGATGGTGGTGGTGGTGATGGTGGTGGTGGTGGTGGTGGTGGTGGTGGTGATGGTGGTGGTGATGGTAGTGGTGGTGGTGGTGATGGTGGTGGTGGTGATGGTGGTGGTGGTGGTGGTGGTGGTGATGGTGGTGGTGGTGATGGTGGTGGTGGTGGTGGTGGTGGTGATGGTGGTGGTGATGGTAGTGGTGGTGATGGTGGTGGTGGTGGTGGTGGTGGTGGTGATGGTGGTGGTGGTGGTGGTGGTGGTGGTAGAGACACTGGCAAGGTAAGGGGGGAGGGGAGAGGGAAGGGTGACCCCTCCCAGAGCCCTGTTTTGTGCAACAGAGAGGCTGTTTCCTGATGATCCGCGGTCAGTGGGGCAGGAGGCCAAGAGACACCGAATCTGGGACGTGACAGGACTGCGGATGGAGGCCTGGCCTGTGGACTGGGTCGGGTTTCTCACCTGCGAGCTGGGTCTGCGCGTCCTGCAGATTGGACACGACCCTGGCGCGCCCCCTGCTGGCCACAGTGGGCGCCGCGCGGCTGCGCACAGAGCCCGAGACCGGATTGTGTGTACACACACACACACACACACACACACACACACACACACACACATGCACACTGCAGAATCCCAAGGGTGACTTCGTACACCCTCCAGGGTCCCCCCCAGCCCTTCAAGCCGAGGGGCAGCAGTGAGATATTCAGACAAGGTTTCTGAACGCTTCTCCACGGTTGCATTTTGTTTTCAATGGCTGATGCAGAGGAGGTGGCCTGCATGCATGCATGCATGCCAGGGCTGGGGCACCAAAAGGCTGGAAATTGCCCGGAGGTCCCTCAGAGGGAGGCAGGGGTCTCCCTTACTGGAGCACTACCCCTATCACAAAGACTAGGTGGGCACATGAAGACAAAAAGATTCTAAGGAAGGATTTAAAAAAAAAAAAAGACTAAGGTTGATTGTCTGGGTGAGGTGAAAGTCGAGGGCCCGTGGAATGCGGAGAGAAAATCCGGAACGCGGTGCACAAAGTAATTTTCAAAAACATATGTTTAATGCCAGGTGCTAGTGGTTTGGGCCTATGATCCTAGTTCCTCTGGAGACTGAGATTGGGAAGATCAAAGCCAGCCCAAGCAGTAAAGTCTGTGAAACTCTTTATCTCACCAAAAAAAAGATGGAGCTGTGGTTCAAGTGGTAGAGCACCAGCCCTGAGCAACAAAGCTAAGGAAGAGAACACCTGTACACACACACACACACACACACACACATCAGTAGGGGCATTAAGAGAACAAATTAGAGCATGATTTGGGGGAGGGCACCAAGCCTCTTGAATGGGCAATCTTCTTCCATCCCAGAGCCTTTGCAAGCATAGGGTCTGTCATTCCTCTGCTCAAAAATATTTTATTCCGCCGGGCGTGGCTCACGCCTGTAATCCTAGCTACTCAGGAGGCTGAGAACTGAGGATCGAGGTTCAAAGCCAGCCCGGGCAGGAGAGACCGTGAGACTACTATCTCCAATAAAAACCACCAGAAAACCAGAAGTGGCGCTGTAGCTCAAGTGGTAGAGCGCTCACCTTGAGCTGAAGAGCTGAGGGACAGCGCCCAGGCCCAGAGTTCAAGCCCCATGACTGACAAAAAAAAAAAAAAAATCTTTTATTCCATCAGAACCCAAGTGATCATGTGGACCCAAAGGGCCTCCCACACACACTCCATGCTGTGTCCCTCTCCCCACCTATCCAAGAACACCTCCCTCCAGCATCCCTGTGTTACTGGCTGCAGCTTGCGAGGCTCTCTCTGGGCCTTGAAGCTTGACAAACACACCAGACACCTCCTCCCCAGGACCTCGCACTGGTTCTTCCCTCTGCCTAGGATCCACTAGGTTCAGACAGCAAATTCCAGTCCTGACTCCAACTTGCTTCTTTTCTTGTCATGCTGGAAATCAAATCCACAGACCTGCTACTGAGCTAAATCTTCAGGCTAGCTCCAACTTTGTGTGTGTGCATGCATAGCATGAGTACGCATGCGCACGCACACACACACACACACACACACACACACACGCACACACACACACACACACACACACACACACACACACACACACACAATCCTGGGGTTTGAACTAAGAGCCTATGCTATCCCTGAGCTTTTTTGCTTAAAGCTAATGCTCTACCACTTAAGCAGCAGTTCTACTTCTGGCTTTTTTGGTGGTTAATTGGAGATAAGAATATCACAGGCTTTCCTGCCCAAGCTGACTTCGAACCACAGTCCTCAGATCTCAGCCTTAAGAGAAGCTAGGATTACAGGTTTGAGCCACCAGTGCCCAGTTCAGCTCCAGCTTTCTAACTCCCCTGTACTCAGATCCTCCTGCCTTTCCTCTGCTCTGTGTGTCCCTTAGCACTTTCTTGGTAAATTACTCTTTTATTTATTCATTGGTTGCTATGCTTTTGTCTTGCTCTTTCCCAACTAGGTAATCTGTTGGTTTACTGGTGCAGGTTAGTTCACTGGCGAACACTGTTCAATACATAGTCATGCAAGATAGAATACCTACTGCCGGGCGGGGAGGGGGAACCTTCTGAGGTGGAATTCACCCGTCTATGCAAATGCTGTGGAGTTCTTCAGAGGAGAGCTCTGCACAGAAGTTGCCAGACACTTGGACCTGGGCATCGCAGGCAAGTGGGCACTGTAGCTGGATAGAGGGGAGACAGAATCTGTCAATTGTCTGGTATAATGTGCCATCAATTTCTGCCATTTTTCAGTCAGTGTGTGGTACAGATAACTTTGCCGAAGGGTGTGGGTACCAGGAAGTGGGATGTTTGGGA